GCTTATCCTGCAAGATGTGCTGTGATATGTGGCCACTGAAGGCAATACTAAACCCTTTTAGTGCACATTCTATTTTTGCATCTCCTTTGGATGCCTGGGATATTTGAATTAAAACAAAAAAAAAAAAAAAAAGGGAAAATTCCATGAAATGGGTGCAATAAGAGTCTGAAATTTATAACTGTACAGGCTCAGTGAAGCCAGTTAGGAAACAGAAGAATAACCAAAGCTGTGGTCACACAAATATAAGCTAGTTCTTTGGGAGTAAATCTGAACAAGTCTTGGAAAAAGCAAGAAGATAGCTGGCTTTCAAGTGGCTAAACTCAGCTCTACTAATTTTTGACATTTTGTTTTGACCTGAATTGTTAATTCAACAAGCTTAACCCAGAAGGTGAACTGCTGTCTCCCTGGGGTTTGCCTTGCTGTTCTTAATGACAGCCCTGCACCTGTAAATTCAGTAAAAATGAGATGTACAGTTTCAGCCAGACTCACAGCCCTGTGAAATTCTTCACTCTTAACACAGGTAAACACCAACAGAAGATTCTGTAATGCAAGCCTTGGAATGACACACAGTAAACTTACCTACCGCGTTTTTATTTCAGCCCCTTTTTATTACCATGCTTTCAGGTAAACACTGAATCTCCAATTCCTTGTTAAAAGACATTCGTAGCAGAAACAGCTGTTGATAAACTGAAAAATCAGCCAAGTTTTTACCAGTGTTGAGACTACCAGTCTCTGGGCAAGACTGGTGATGGCTGGAAGTGCACATCTGCTGGGCTGTGAGACACGACTTTGCATTTTAGAGAAGTTTGGCAAGTAGGAATAGACACCAAGTGTAAACCCTCCTATGGTCTCAAGGAGAGACTGCAGCAGTAACTCAGAGTGTGGATACAGCCACCTCCCCAAACCCTTGGTCCTTCATTGGCAGACTTGGACTGATCATAACATTTCCAAGGCTACATGCATGTAAATCCCTATGTTTAAGGAAGCCCTTGGAGTTCATCGCTTGGAACCTCATGTCCAGTTCTAAACTGCTACTTCAATGCATTCTTCAGTAGCTACGTGAATCTTTTCCCAACATAGCTAGTAAGTCTTATTTCTGACACTACAACAAACACACTAATAATCATTATTAAAATTTATGGTCAAGATTAAGGTATTTAGAAGACTGTAAATGGAAGGATTAAAGGAGTATTAGGTAGTGAATAGAGGAGGAACTATCTAAATAATATTTAAATATAGTCCGCTATGATTTTAACCACAGGACAGGAAGGACTTGGCAGGAACAAATTAAAGCAACGAAGCTAAAAGGTTTAGATTTGGATTAAACTATTAACTAAACTTTTAATATTATTTTACAACATCCATTTATGACATCCTCTTTCCATCATCCTCTAAATGTCCTCCTTTTCTCATTCTTCATCGCCCTTTCTGCACTGACACTGAAACAATCCCTAGACACATCATA